ACTTCCACAAATTGTACTGCCAACTATCATTAAATAAGAAAGTTAAATTTTATTACAGTTGTATTTATATCCAGTGCTGCTTTACTCATTGCTGAAAGTATTCAGATAAAGCTATTAAATTGGTTTATAATTTTGATAATTAGAAGCTGTGTTTTGTTTAAAAAATGCCTCTATTGGCCTATCGGCATAAACTAATAAAATGATTAATAAAATTCTGGAAAGGTAAAAGCACAGCATCTCTCAATGTCATAGTTTACATTTTAACACTGCCCATTAAACTTTTTTCCATTTCCCATGCAATTCAGTTTTTTAAATCATTTCTTTATTTATTTAATAAAGGGTTTCATTACAAAACTCAGATGTGTAGTGATCCTCCTGTCTAGGCCTCCCCAGCACTGGGACTACAGGTGCATGCCGTCACACTAGGTTTCAGGGCTGGCATGAAATGTAGTACCAGGGATTGAACCCCAGTCCCTGTGCTTACCATTCAGGTGCTTAGACCACCTGGCTATTGATACCATGTATAAGTTTTTATTTGGTAAATATTTATATTTAAGTTTTTATCTTTTAAAGATCTACATACTGTTAAGATATATCCGTGTATGTTGGAAGACTTTTCTCAAGGACCTCTGAAATGGACAGAAGAATCTGTGGTCTGACATACCTTCCGAAAGAAGCTCAAGTAAGAAGACATGTACTAGAATTGAAGGTACAGAACGTCTCCAGCTAACACGACAGCAACTGAAATTCATTTTAGTGGATTATATTTAAGATGTAATTTTCCTCCATTTCTTTAGCAGAGTTTGTGCTATTTTCTGAAAAATGTAGTTACCCTGCGTTAATATTTTCCGCATAAGAAGACAACTCCTTCTTGTACATGTTTTTTCTGGAAGATCAGCAGTTTCCAGCACAATGTAATTCATTCCCTGGTCAATGTCTTTCTACTCTTCGTGCTGTATGTTCAAGGTAAGCCTGCGTGCAGCTGTTATGCCAGAAGTTAGTTAAGGTAAAGGATGAAGACTGAGTCTTACTTCTACGAATAATCATGGAACCAAATTTTACCTATTTATAGTAATTTGAGAATTAATATAGTCAGCTGTGCAAATGTTCATAATCAAGGAGAAATACTCTCTTGATTTACTAAAAATTAGGTCATTAATTTTTCTAGAAAAATACAGATTTACCTCAAGCCTTGATTTCTATGAACAAGTATCAGAGTTATTAGAGATACGATCCAGATTGATGACTACCTTTTGAAGCTCACTTAGTTTCTGAGTACAATTTCTTTTGAACATGATTTAGAACAAAACAGAGTATGTCAGAGAAAGAAAGAAAATAAAATTTAATGAGCACCTGTCAGGTACAGAAGACATCAAAATGCACATTTTTATGTAAATATAATTAAAGCACTTATATTGACATATATTTTTGAAGCATATATTTTGTGTGCTTAGATGACATAAATTACATTGAAAACAATCATTTCCTTCAGTGTTCTATGACCTAAGGAAATATTTCACAACGGTTTGATGCTCTTCTACAGCAATGATGCTAAGAAGTAGCTAGTCAGCAACCCCAAGCAGCCGGCTCAGCATGAATTATGGCAGCGCATCATTGTGTTCAGCTGCTGTCCACTAACATCAAATGGTCTTTGTTAATTAAGCCTAGAGAACAGATCAGCTCCGTGTGCTACTCTGGAAGGTTTTCTTAGCCTATTGATCGTGAGAGGCACAAGCCACTATGTCACCACACATCTTCTCAATCGATGGATATTTAAAGTCAACTATAATGAAAGGGTCTTGGAAATCTCTTACTGTAAAAAAAAAAAAAGCCAAAGCAAAATTGGGAACTATTCTGATACATCCATGTCCTGTTCATGTGATTTTTAAAATTTTATCATTAAGCTAAATTGGACCCATCACAAATATGCGGATTACGTTAACTCAATTGCTCCATTCATAATATTCTTTTTCCTAAATCATGAGTCAATGTTATACTTTTTCCACTAGTAAGATGAAGATCAAAATAAACCCTACACAAGCATCTGTATTTTTAACAGAATTGTGACTAAAGACACAGGCAGCTGTCATGTAATGTTCTATATACAAAGACGCTCACAATTTTTAAGGATATATACATCTTGTGAGAAGCAGTATCATAAATGATTTGGAGAATTTTGTTCCTTGGGTAGCTAAATTCTGTTTCAAGAAAATAAAGATGGATGTAAAGCAATGAACATTTCTCTACCTAAAATGCTAGTGATAGGACTTATAAGCCAAATTTAGCGCCTCACTGTAATAATATTATTATGGAGCTCAATTTTCCCCCCTGGTTTAGATAAACTTGTGTTCTTGTGTACATGATTTAACTTACTTTTTACTGGCATAATCTATTAGTCACCTCAAATATATCAGGAATAAATTATAATTATTCATTGTAAGTATGATTACGTTGCAAGGATTGTGTCTTCTATCTCTGTTTATTTACTGAATACCAAGCAGGCACAAAGACACTAAAAATATCAAATTAAGATAGAATGTATTTCAAAGATAATGGTACCTTAACTAGTACTTAGCAACCCTGCATTTCAATTTCCTTCCAGTTAGTAAACTTTGGGCCCAAAGCAAGGTCCCCAATTTTTTATGTGACTTGTTCATCAGTTTCCTGAATGCTACATGTAATCACCCTAATGGGACCACGAGGATGCACGTGATGTTCACGGTATAATGAGAGGTGCACATCAGCTATCAGTATAATGACCATCTTTACTAAATTACAAAGTGCTTTTGTCCCTGGTCTCATTCCCAGCTCCCTCCTGAGCTGAACGGACTCACACAGCACTTCGTGCACTGCCGTCCGCATGCCTTTCATCTCAGAGTGTGGCTTTATTGGATTGTGTGGTCACTGTCACTGTAGATTTTGTCAGCTAAGATGAGGTTATTAGGGTGGGCTATGACCCACTTGATTGGTGTCACTCTGTAAGAAAAAAAATGGACCCAAACAGCTTTGCAATGTGAACACCACAGAAAGACGAAGGTCAAGGCAGGGTGACGCTTCTACATCTAGCTGACAAGGAGTCAGTACAGAACACCATCCTCAGAGGAAAGCAGCCCTGTCAACATCTTGATCTCGGACTTTCAGGCCCATTCACACCACCCAGAATATGGGCCTTTTGCTCTAGCAAACCCCAGAAAAGAAACATCGCTGCAAAATTCTAGAAGATGGTGGTTGTTACAGAGCAGAAAAACTGAAGTACAGAGAGATGAAGTGCTACCGTTTGGATTTTACATGTCCCGGAAGGCCCTGAAGCTAAAGTCTGGGTCACCAGCTTGTGGCGCTACTGGGAAGCTGACAGAACAGCTCCGAGTTGGGAAGGGGTGGAAGGAAGCTAGTCCTCTAGGGCGTGACTCTGAGGGGAACAGTAGGCCCCAGCTCTCTTTGTCTCTCTTCCTCTGACTACCATGGCCCAGGGAAAATCTTTTATGGTAAAACTAGTCTACAATATTTTTCTACATTTTAATGTAGCAAAGAATACCAGAAAAACTACAAATGCCAAATCTACAGGTAATGTTCAGTATAATTAAGTTGAAATATATAATTTTATAGCTCTTTTATATATTGCAATAAGGAAAAAAAATAAATCCATAAGCAAGTCAGAGATAACCATATAAAAGTATAAAAATCCAAATAGACTAGTTGTAAATATGTTGAGATCACTAATAGCAAAAAAGTAGAAAACATACTAAATCATGATGGAGAAAATCAAGGGCATGCCATGAAAATGAGTCAATGAAATACAGGTATCAATAAAACTAGATAATGGCTTAACTAGTTCTGAGACCTAAGAAAATTCTATTATTCACAATTAGTAACGAGTTATACCTTTACATTATAGTTGTTGTCTCCAATAATATGATTTCTTTGCATGCTGCCAAAATGCTTCAAAATTATTGCAAATTTACAGTGTAATAACAAGTCAAGTAACTCTCTGATACTTAAAAATAAACTTTAGAAGATGCTATTTTATACTCCCAAAGTAAATAAAAATTGATCACTCAGAATCCATTATCAAAGTGATTCTATATTTGCCTATGAAAACAAAGGGCCATGGTTTTCCTCATAAGACAGCTTGCTGTTTTCTGCTCTAGATTGATCTATAAAATAAGTCTATCAGCCCCCAAAGTTTGATCTAAGATCTTGGCAACTATCTTTCTTTATCCATTACAGTGATAAAAAGTAAAATAAAAAATCCAAGCCATTCTGAGAATATTTTTAAGCAACTAGCTTCCTGGCAAATAAAATCCCCCAATAACTGAGCCCCCTTTAATCTTTTAGTCTTCACTTCATCTTGAGCCGTCTGACCTTATACAACTTTAGGGAGACCACTCTGCCAGCACAAGTCCCATGTGTACCACCCTGACCTCTGCTTGCTGTGAAGCAGAAGCAGTTACCTACCTCAAGAAGGAGAGCCTTCAAGTTGTTCTTCTGTAAGTTTTTTTTCTTTGCAAAAGGGTCCTACCAACAGATTGCTGCCTCAAATGGTTAGTCTTTCAGATAATGATCTACTTCTTTTCAGAAGGCTTAACAGCACTCTTCAATTTCAAGTCCTAAATCTCAAAATTTAGTTCATTCTATCTTTGTTGGTTATTTATTTATTTCATGTATTTGGTACAGGGTCTCACTGTACAACTTGGAATTCTAATGACCCTCCTGTTTTCAGCCTCCCCAGCCCTGGGATTACAGGCATGCACCACCACCCCCAGACTCTGTCACGGGCTCAGTGCACCTGGGAGGTGGGGCTGGCACAGCATGCAGGACCAGTGATCGAACCCTGGTGCCCATTCCTTGTGCTTGCCAATGAGGCACTTAGTCCACTGAACTATCTCACTGGCCCTCTTATGGTTCCTTTATTTATGCACTTTCTTTCTCCTAGTTCCTCCCTCCCTCCCTCCCTCCCTCCCTCCCTTCCTTCCCTCCTCACCATCCTGAACTGAACTTACCTCCTGTCTGAGTGATGACTTGTATGTCACTGGAAAGAGGACCATCTCCAATTGAGGTAAAAGCCAGGACTTTGACAGAGTATGTCTTCTGGGGCACTAAATTGCCTATGGTGGTGATTTGGCTGTCAGCTACATTGTGTTTCATCCAGTTGTTGACGTGCTGAGTAGGGTCCATCGTGTAATAAACTCTGTATCCCTGAATCTGTCCATTTGGCTCCTCGGGCTCCTTCCACTGCACCAAAATGGTGGTGGAACTCAGCATCCGTGCCTGGACATCCCTCGGCGCACTGGACGGTGCCTGCTCTGAGGTCTGCGTCAGCACAGGCTCACTGGGAGGCCCCCGCCCAATGTTGTTGACGGCAACCACCCTGAATTCATAATCCGAGTAGGGGCTAAGTCCGGCAACACTGTAGCGAGTGGTCGCCACCCCATCGATTTCTTTGTAGGGTTCCTCGGAATTTTTGGGTTTATGCTGGATGATGTAGTAAGAGACAGGCTCAGGGTTCGCAGAGTCCCACGTCAGCGTTATGCTTGTGGCTGTGCTCTCAGTCACCACTGGAGTTCCTGGAGGCTTGGGTAAGGCTGCGGGCAGGGGAGAAAGAAACGTGACTGCCCGTACTGCCACAATAAACCAAACAATACAAACAATAAACTGCATTTGAGAATTACAAGTTTTGGAATCTACTAATAATGAGATGCAACTAAAGCAAAGGATGGCTTTCTAAGTGATGAAAATTATAGCAAAACCTCCATTGTTGGTACAAATCTCATTTGTCTAGAAAAGTTTGAAAGCATGTATTTTGGGCTGGTGTCTAAATCCACCACTTATTAGCTAAAGAACCCTGGACATCTTCTTTAGCTGCTCTTCCTTCTAGTTCCCTTGAGTGAAAATAAAAAAGGGCATTTCTGGGGTTGTACTATATAGCTGAGTAACTGTATCATATGGGCTTTCTGGGAAGATTAATGAACTAACCCAGCAATGCTCCTAAGAACACATCTAGTACTCTCAAAAAAATGGTAGTTAAAATTATTGCACAATTATTCCAAAATTTTGGCCCCTTAGCCCCTTGTTCAACAAATAAATGATATGACTAAATTTCAGTGAACACCGAAAAGAAAAAGAAAACTTTTCAATATGTTGAAGTAGATTAAATTATTATGAAAGAGTATTAGTTAAAGCACATAAAAAATTCCAAAATTTCTTGTAACTAATTTAACTGAGAATTTTAAGGGCAAGTTAGAGTACAGTAGTTGTCTGGTATGCAAGGGGTCCCGGATTCAAAACCCAGCACTATAAAAAGAAAAAAAATCTTAATGAAAATAATAATAATAATAATTTAATAATCAGTGTTTTCTTGTTAAAAATATCAAAATGGCCAAGATATTCTCATAAATCATTTTTAAAGTGTTATCAGTACTACTAAAAATCTATGTTTTGTATCAGATATATCTGAGATGATAGGGCCTAAACAGATATTTGCCTTTAAATTGATTTACTATGGAGGTCCAATTCCCTCTTTTTAGCAGAGCATAACTATAAGAATATGAAGCATCTGTATTGATCTCTTCTTGAATTGCCTGGCTCTAGACAGTGATTCTATAAAGGGCAAATTCTGTTCACTAAACTTGTGGAGAAAATCCAGAAGGTAATATATTCACAGGAACAGGATACTATCTGTGTTTTCTTTTTAATAGAAGGCACAGATGACAACACCCCCTGGAATGGCAGCTTCCAACAGTGTCACACTTGTCCCTTATACTTAGTGCCCTGGTCTCCGTATCAAGACCCGCCTGACACTGAGTAAGTTAGGAATGAAGGAGAACTCAAAGTCAGTCAGTAGTCACTCTCTTCACCCGCTTCAAATTCTTAATTTTGATGTATTTTGACTTTTTGCCTTCAAAACTCATACTCATGCTTGCTGCTTGAGGGCGAAAGGGTACTGAGGGGCCTGGCACCAGGACAGCCAAGACGGCTCTGTGAAGAAGACTGCGACTCCACACAGCCCCTGCCTTGGAGTTCCTGAAGGTCTTCAGTAAACCTTCAAATATTTCAGGCTGAAGTGGTTATCATCAAAGGAGCTCAATTAATATTTGCATATTACTCTAAGAACTATAGAATGACAATATTTGACCAGGGGAATTTACTAAAAATAATAATACAAAGACATTTGCTCAAATACTATGGCCTGACATTTTTCAAAGAAGTGGGAGATTCAAATTTCCCAAAAGTATCTACTTGAACTTTCAAGTCAAATAAAAATATTGCTAATTAAAATTGTATTTACTGATATTTAGCTGACATTATTAGTTTCACAAACTCTCATTTATTGTATATTTCTGTATCTGTCATGTTCAGATAAGTACTGTATATTTACTATTTCAAGGGTAGACAATACATTAATTTAAATAGCTACACCTATAGATGTTAACAGTGCAGACTAAGTTATCACATTATGTTACAGAGTTTACAGGGTATGCATTTGATACACATGCTCTTGGAGACAGAATGCAAATTATAACATAATGTTGCATTTGCACTTTTGCTACCTATGAAGGAAGATGATTTGTGCTTCTTTTGCAATAACTATACACATTTGTAGAAAAGTTAAGTCATCTTCAATCTGACCCAATTTGCAAGTTTTCTAGAACTCAACAAATACAGGGTAAAGCAACTTGTACTCCTACATGTTCCATTTCTCTTTTTGTTCAAAAATATTCACGAACACAGTGCCTCCGGTCCATTTAGTGCACGTTTCCAAGACAAAGTGTCACCAGCACCCATCTTTGAAAGGTGAAAGACAAAACAAGAGAATAGAACGCTATTTGCATTTTGAGCTTTCATGGTATAATCCATCAAAAATTTAGAGCATGTAGGTCTGGCCAGATAGCTCAGTGGACTGAAGCACATGTTTAGGCAGAGAGCAACGGCCAGGGTTTGATCCCCGGCATGCCCTGCTGGCCCTGACCCCAGAGCATGCTGAGATGGTGATTCAGACTGGGCGTGGTGGCGCATGCCTGTAATCCCAGCACTTGGGAGGCTGAAAACAGGAGAATCTCTACGAGTCTGATCTATACAGTGAGACCTTGCAGACCCTATATCAAATACATAAAAAGAAACAAAAATTTGAGAGCTTGTATCATTCGATCATGCTGACTTCAATTCTTTTTCCTCTTCTCACCTTATTCTCAGGGATTGTACACCTTTGACACCACTCACTGGATTCCTGCGACTTTGTCAAGGCACTGGATGTCTCTGAAGAATACACATTCACAATGCGCCTGGGCTTCATCTACTGCTAAAGAGTTTGACAATTATCTCCATCTTAGCTTGCTGATTCTTTTAGGACGGAATATGACAACCTACACAGAGGCATCTTGTGTAATACCATACATATGCCTAAACTATACATGTTTGAAATCCCGAATGATGAATTGACTCAGTTTAGAATTCTGGGGCTAGACTTGCTAGGGATATGAGTGGAGTGCCTTGAGTTTGCCCAGATTTTTAAGGCATAATCCATTGAACATACCTTTGACAGTGATCTGTGCTATTGCTTCAATGACACCCAGTGTTGACATAGCAACACAGGTATAGTTTGCCGACTGTCTGACATCATTCAGTTCTAGGACATTCCTTCCTATTGGCATATCATCTTCAGGTGTCAGGTCTTCTGCCCCCAACATCCACTTCACATAAGGCATTGGTGACCCCACTGCCACACAGGTGATATTAACACTTCCACCTGGCATAATTTCATGATTAGTGGGTGGGATAGAGAATCTTGGTGGGACACGGCGAACTGGAACAAAACACAAGGGAAGATGATAACATATACGAGGCAAGAGAAAAAAGGGGCTGTTCAACACATGACATGCATTCTACAGACACAGTTCAACAACTGCAACATTGTGGACTGTCCAAAACAGAACATTAAAAAAAAAAAAAAACTGTGGATAATACAGACCATACAAGTATGGTGTGTGTATACACAGAAGAATGTAGTTAGTCTAATCATTTATATCTTAGAGACATTTGTACAAAAGTTGATTCAGGTCTTACAGGGCCCCACAAAAAGCTATCTACGAACTAACAATACACAGACATCATGCATAAAATAAACACAAAACATATACATGCATGCATATGACAATGAGGCTATGCATGTAGGTATATGTTGGGGAAAGGGCTGGAAGGTCACCAGCGTGTCTGAGTTGGCCACTGAGACCAACTTCAGTGCTGCGCACTCCCAGCTGATGTGATGGCATGTTGTGGGACCACACCGTCACATCCAAGCCCTAGAAAACATCACCTAGGACACACTGAATGTGCAATTTACTTCCTTTAGAATTCAGTGTGGATGCAGGCTCCAAACCTCACGCTAACACTGGAACGAACACTATACGCAAATAACTTTAAAGAAGGAGAAATCAGGTCAACACCAGCAATTATACTGGATTACGTCATGCAAAGCGTGCACAAGATGGAATCTCATGTCCGTGCTATGGATGATGGGAAAATGGCTGGGCTCCAAGAGGACAATTCAACTGAAGAAATAATAGGGCAACAGCACTAAATACAAAGGGCAAAGGTAGAGTACAATAACTGAGATGCGGACTTAAGGGACAGGAGGGTTGAATGTTGCAAGACAGATTAAACAGAGGTTGTTAAAAGAAAAGATTATAAAATCAAAAGGAGAGCGGGATAGTTGACATTCAGGAGTGCATTCTGTGCATATCTAAGGTAACACAACATCAAGGAGCACAAAATCTTGGAAGAGGCTTTTTATGCCTACATTCAAATTGGGGACACCAAATCTAAAACATACAGCTGGACAAGACAGTAAGAGAAATAGTCATATTAAAGCAACATAACACACTAAAAAATTTCCAAGCAATTACAGTTCAGTGTTCCTGCTTCATATAATCTTCATGTTTATGTATGTTTAAGTACATGTGTTTTAGACATGATATAAGGAGAAAAGATTTAAATAGGCTTCCTCTTGGGTTTTTACAGGTAAAATATTACACCAGGAGAATTTTATACCAAGAGAGTGATCTTTTCAAGCATACCTTAAATACAGAGATAAATCGTTTTCCAAAGTTATAAAAAAGGACTGAAATAACAACCTCATAACTCCAAGTAGATAAGTAATTCTGTCTGAAATCGCTATGGTGGCCCTCAGGGTTGAGATAAACCTCTGCTGACTTGAGAGGGCTCACTGCAATGGCCTCATGGGTGAGTGACAGTTAGAGGACAAGAGAGAGCTGAGCATGCCTCCTGTAGCCAGATCACAGAGGTTACCGAAGCAAGCAGGAGACAGTGGAGACTGCGGTGTCAGAGAATGTATCAAGAAAAACGGAAGAGGGTTTAGTCTTCATGCTTGGGATTAGGGGAACAACTACGGAAAGTCATTCTGTGGGGCAGCAGGCATCTTTAGAGACAGAAATTAGAGGTAGGGTGGGACACAGGGACAGTATAGGAAGAAGGAAAGCAGGAACACTGACCAAGTCCACCCGACCTTAGAGAGGTAAGTATTACCAGTTACCATGCACCCAGGTATGTTCTTTCCCATCATACATCACAGTTAGACACCACCAGCAAGCAACAGAAGCCATGGCCAGAGCATTCTCTGCTGAAATATACCATTAACCAAAAGAAGACCACAATGCAGCTACATTCATTTCATTTGTATTCTTTGTTATTGGTTGAATTAATAGTTTTGTAAGGTGGGTAAAAAGTAAAAAACACACCAACCTTCTCGCAGCTCTGAGGGATGTAGGGGGTTTGATGCAGAACACAATGAAATGAGGAAAGGAGAAAAACAAGGGAAACACAGAGAGAGTAAAAAGGCCATATCAAGGCTTTCAACTGCTATTTGAACATCTTTACTTGCTCTAGTTCATCCTTCCTATCTTAGCTGGGCAGTTAACAATCCCCTCCAGACTAGTCCATTACTAGAAACAATAGCTAGCATCATTTTGAAATTTTCAATGGAAGAAGATCCACATGCCTCATGCAACAAAGGAGGTCACCGCTGTGTGAAAAGCATTGAGTTTCCAAAGTACTCACAGAAGAAACCGTTTTCTTCAATCCCCCAACCCCAGCCTCCATAGAAACAGAGGAGAAAAAACATCCCCAGGGAAAATTACCTCTAACAAAAATTTCAAAATCAAGCTAGATATTTTCTTAAGGTACCTCCATCCTACAGTAATGTAAAGCCCCCTTGGTGGTCTTCCTAATCCCACCCCCACCCACACCTTTCTGGCTCTCCAGAAGTGTAGAGCAGGAACGGGAGTTTTCACTGGATAACAAAAATAACAGGAATAACTTTGGGAATTCTAGGGAAGGGGAAGCAGTTCTTTTTCCTGGAAATCAAAGGCACAGCCATTTATAAGCTCAAAATGCAATCATTTCTGTTACTATATGAGAAAATAAGAAGAACTTCATAATTCAGTCCTGTTCCGTGGACAGCTAATATTATTTTAAAATATACAATCAGGGTTCCATGGCAATCAAAAGATTAAGTTTTTACAATGTGCTAGACTTTAAATAAGTATCCATGTGTATGTATATATGTGCATACATAAGCATATGCGGATATAGAATCCTACATACAATGCACTTATAACTAAGACAACGTAAGAAGGACTACAATTGTGTTATTTACATATAACAGTCCCTTTTTTTTTTTTTTTTTTTTTTTTAACATCATGTTGACAGTCACTGTTCTTTTTTTTTTTTTTGGAGACAAGCTGTAACTATGTGTTTCAGACTGGCCCTAAACTCACTTTGTAGCCCAGGTCTAAAACTCATAGCAATCGTCCTGCCTCAGTTCCCCAGGTGCTGGGAATACAAATGTGTGTTTCCCTTTTCATGAAAGAATAAAGATCCGGGCTGGTGAGATGGCTCAGTGGTCTAAAGCACCCACTTAGAACAAGCTCAGCAAAGCACAAGGGACCGCGGTTCAATCCCCCAGCACCACATGCCAGTCAGCCCCGCCCCCTGGTGGGCTGAGCTGGCCACACA